ACCACAGATGTATCAGTTACCTCTACTTAGTTTAGTTTAGCAAAGTATCATAGAAAATTAAGATTGGAAAGAATCTTGTAACGATCACTGCCTAGGGCAGGAGTTCACTGTAGAATATAGCATCCTAAACAGATGGCCATCCTGCCTTTGTTTGAAAATTTTCAATAAAGGAGAAACCACCATTTCTGAGGAATTCTATTCAATTGTTGACAACCCCTTGTAATTGGGATTTTGTTTTCTTTTATTTCTGTTCAAGATCAACATCCTGCCCATTGTTTCTTGTCTCTTTTTTGGAACAATTGTGAAAATTCTGCCTTGTCTTTGTGACAGTCCTTCAGGTATCTGAAGACAGCTAACATGTTTTCTAGCAATTTTGTCTTCTACAGCCCAAAACTATCCTGTACCTTTATCTCTTCCTCATAAGTTTTTTTCCCCTTTCAGTCCCCTTGCTATTTTGGTTGCTTTCCTTTGGATATACTTAAACTTGTCAGTGTCCTTATTAACATGTGCTCAGAGTTCAATACAATATTCTAAGGAATTTAGAGAAAGAACTAACTCTCTTGTTCTTGACATTATATTTCTGTTGTTACAAACTAGGACTGCTGTTTCCTTTTTTGTGTGTGACAACTAGATCACATTAATGAATGTACAGTTTATGATCCACCAGATCTTTTCGACATGTATGTCTAGTATGGTCTGCCTAGTATGGTCATTCCAGTCCTATGCTCATGCCACTGATTTTAATAACCCAAATTTGAATTTTGCATTTGTCCCTGTGGAAGTCCTCTTGCGGTTTCAACTCATTGTTCTTGTTTGTCAAAGTGCTGTCCTGTCATCAAACTAAACAATATATTAATTTAAAAAATCTAAAAACAAACTCACAATAGACGGTGGCTCTGATGTGTGTCATAGGACATACACACAGCACACTGGTATATATGGGCACTGAGTTGCTTATTATTGACTTAATGCAACTAAATAATTATCATAGGCATATGAAAGTAGGGAAGCAGAGTTACTCCCTAAAGTAAATTTAATCAAACTCTTACCACTAATTGGTAATATAGTAAGGACAACAACATTAGTTTTCTTAACTGAACTATATATTTATTAAACTCACTGGAAAAATCTAGTCAGGTGAACATACAATTTGGAAATAAGTACAGCTTGTCTTGAATTGTTTCCAGTTGCATGTTCCCTTGGCCTGGGAAGAGTCAAAGCTCTAGAGTATAATCCTGAGGATGGTTACTCACAAAAACTCCTGCTTCAAAACCAATACTGCCTCTGAACCTTATTTCTAGTGGTCAGTTTTTTGCCAAGGCCTTCGGGGGATAAATTTTCAGGAAAGCCACTATTCCCAGAAACTACCTGCTGTAAACAAAATTCCCCACAAAGAAGGAAATATAAACTTCAGTAAAAGATTAACTATTTAAAATTCTGTAAAAAAATTGGCCAAAACCAGAGTATTTTACTGTAACTAATTTTCCCCCTCAATTATCAAGTACAAAGGAGTTAGAAATCTTATTAAAGATCTAAAGACAGAAAGTTCTTATTAATACATTCCATGGGCTTCAAACAGTACCTAGAAGAGAAAAATTGTTGCTAAAACTTGGAGGTTGTAAAGTCTACAGTAGAATTCAACATGGATATAACACCATGGCACAAAATATATTTTTTAAGAAAGGGTCCAACATGGAGGCTTAGTAATGGTTTATTTAAAAAAATACTTAAAATATATAGTTCTTGATTTTAGAGTTGTGAGGAACAACCTCCAGAAGTTGCTGTATCTTCCCCAAAATTAGTAGCAAAGAGAACAGAACCTCATTCTGTTAACTTAAGTTTGTCCTTTTTGTCCTTTCCCCAAAGGAATATAGATAATTCTAAATAGGGCCACTGGAAACAACTTTACAAACAAAATAGAAGCATACATGCTTGGTCATTTCTTGGTCATGATATATTCGTAAACTTACTTACCTACTACAATGTGATGTACACTGTAAAAATCCTGGCAGACAACAGTCACTAGTCTGTTTTGTCACACCAATGCACCACAAGGAGCAAACTAACTTCACACCAGCTGGCCTACAGTGGTCTCAGACAAAGTCAGCTCATCTGGGCCTTTCCTCCGCCGATCATCTACCTATCGTTTCTGAGCAGATCCAGCCCCGGTTCCAGCTCCCCCTCACAGAGCTCAGCCAGCATTTTCCCACCACCAAAATGGCGGTATCTATCTATCTACTTGCAAACAATGGTTTCAAACTCCTAACTGGACAGGAGCTGAGAACAAGAGATGGAAGCTTACCTCATCCCACAGATTTAAATTGGATTTGAACCACCAGAGTGCTGGCAATTGCTTAGCACATCCAGTGTCATTAAGCGTCAGTGTCACTGTGTCCCCTTTCCTAAACATAGAGACACAAAATGGATCATTAAAATTTTATGAATATTTCACCCTAATTAATATCACTGCCATTCCTATACTTACAGGTTTTTATCTGTCTGACAAGTGAGCCAAATACCAGTAGAAGAGAACATTTGTGATCAAAGATTAAAAGATTGTGGCAAAAACTTGACTATTTCCTCACTTCCCTTTTTCCATAGGGTCATAAAACATTCAATCCTGTATTAGGAAATGATAGGAGATACTATTGTAAGGCAATGTAAAAAATTACAATGTAGAAGGAAAAATAGTGAGTTGTTGTAGAGCAATAGTTTGAAAGTTTTGCCATTTTCTTTGCATGTCCTAAGCTATCTTGCTATGAATTAGAGGTGCAGCTTCATCTCTTGAACTATTAGTTCAATAGTAATCCCAGGGATAACTATTGAAGAGTTATCCCTGGGATTGATGACTATGTATAACATGCAGCAGGAAATATTTGAGAAACAATCTATCCTAAACTATCTTTTCTATGTTTTCCACTACAATTTTATATATCTCTTAATACAAGAGCATTAAAAAGTTGTGTAAGACTAACTTCAGGATCTGAAGGAGTCAAAATGTCCTGCGTTTTGTTCAGCACATACACTATATTACTGATCATGTCCTATTTCCAATTCCTCACAATTCTTAAATTATTGCTACCCAACTACAGAGCTCCAAAGTTGGGAGCAAGGATGATGGGTTTTAATTGTATCCAGAAGGTGACAACCTATATTCCACCATGGTATCAGAACTTTTTCTCATAGAAAAACCATAGAACTTTTTCTCATTTTCTTCAGCAAGGCCTAAAATCTAGCAATGTTGCAGGGTATCAGTGGTGGGTTCCTCCCGGTTCCGCCGATCCGGTAGCAGTGACGATATGACATCACCAAACCGGTTCTGCCCCCCCGCCCCCACCCCCGCCCCGCATTATTCTTACCTTGGCCCCAGCCCCAATCTGTTGCTGCCTCCTGAGTCCCAGCTGATCGGCTAGAAGGAAAAAGCTGTTTAAACTCTTGCCACAGGGCTTCAAAGGGCCGCCCTACAGATGATCAGTGTTAAAAGGCAGTGTGCTGGTAGACCGGTGCCTCCAAAAACAAATGAGTAGACTGGTGCCTGCAAAAATAAATGGGTAGACCAGTGCCTGCAAAAATAAATGGGTAGACCAGTGCCTCCAAAAACAAATGAGTAGACCGGTACAGCTCTGCAAGCAGTTAAAAGCCTGGTAGACCAGTACCTCTGCTAAATCCTAAAGAATTGTCACATGACCATCAAGCCACGCCCACAAAATAAGCCACGCCCACAAAACCGGTAGTAAAAAAATTTAGAACCCACCCCTGGGGGGTATCCCATATCTTGAGAGGCAACACTAAAATAAGATATCTTCATCTCAATGGCTTTGAATCCGTAAAAATACAACCGTTGTCAAGTGGTTGAGAACAGCAGCAATTTTGCATTTCATATTAATATTTACACTGAGTATAGGATAAAATTTACTGAGGCTTTCTGATATGAAATATTCGGCTGAAATAATTTCTTTTCAGCCAGCCAAGGAAAAAATATTATAAATTAAAGCTGCACACACTCAAAAATAACATCAAGATGTTCTATGTTATAGCAAATGTCATATATAATAAAAATGGAATGTTTGCTTTTCAACATATGGATTATCTTTTGTCAATGTTTGTTTTTTAAGGATGAAATGCTTTACAGGTTTCATTTTTAATATACTTTCAGTTATAACGTTTCACAATATCCTAATTCTTTAAACAATAAAAATGTAAATCACTAAATTAGTTTTCAGAATATTTTAAATTATTTATTATTTTTAGCACTGCAGGCTTGCATCAGTATGTTATCAGGTTTAATTGATTCATCAAAAATGTACATTTTAATTAGTATGAAGTCAGGTTTAAATTCATAGGACCAAAAGGAAAGCATTTTTTAAAAGTTTGCTGTATTAATGTAATAGCCACTCAAAAGAAAAACTATAAAAGATGGACATTTTTCTTAATACTGTCTAGAGGGTGTTGTTTATGAAAAATTGCAAACATGCTACTTTGTAATATTTCAAAGTCATCAATGTTGATATACTGGTTATGTGCATATGTATAATCATTAATAATTAATCACTTAAAGACAGGAGATTAATCAACCTCTTAATTAATTATTAATCAATCAATTAATAGTTTTTAACTTCTATATGTATTTGTATTTATTATGGCTGTTCACTGCCCTGAGTCCTTCGGGAGTAGGGCGGTATACAAATATGAAAAATAAATAAATAAAATAAATAAACCGAAATTCTACACTAAGTTTAAAAAAGCCTTAATGAATATTTGCATTAGCAAATAATTTCTTGAGTAGCCCTATTCAGATACACATAATCAAATTTGTGTGCACATGGAGAAAGGGAGTTTATGTATCCCCTTATTTATGAAACAATTATAGTTACTACAATTCAAAAGCAATAATTCTATTACATTGAACTGCATGCTCACTCTTTTTAGTTTTCATTTCACCTGAGATTACTACTTTCTTATTGATTTAAACCATTACAATAATACTTTTGGAAACCAACCTTATTATTTGCCTTTTCCAGAAAGTGAAACGGGTATTTTTGTAGAACTTCAAAGAAGAATTTATGATGGGAACACTGGGGTCAGAGCAACAGCCTGTAAAATACAGTAATGTCTAGTAGAGATCTATAGTTGGTTTACATTTGGTAGATGGCAATCCATGTTCTCAAGTATATATATATATATCTTTTAGTGCCTCGAGTATATTTTGAACTTTACATATTTTTGTATAGGTTTAATGAATTTATACTTTTACCCACAGGCCAGAATGATATATAGCAGCACATTCCTTTAATTGCTGCCATCTTTGTTGAAACAAAATCTATTTTAAAATATCACTTGAAAAAGAAAGAAAGAAATCCATGGTATCTTTGGCTTTTAAAACTGATGTAGTGAATAGCCTTACCACTGAATTATGTTTTTTTCCAAACACGAAGAAAAATGGTATGAAGTGTACCTGTAGCTGTTTCAGCATGCAGATAGTCCTTGAGTTACAAAAGTTTATTTAGTGACCTCTAAAGTTACAAAGGCAGTGGAAAAAGTTACTTATGACCTACGACCATTATAGCATCCCAATGGTCATGTGATCAAAATTCAGATGCTTGGTAACTGGCATCTATTTATGACGGTTGCAATATCCCAGGGTCATGTAATTTTGTGGCTTTCTGACAAAGCAAAGTCAATGGGCAAGCCAGATTCACTTAAAAACCCTGTTACTAACTTAACTTAACTTAACTTAACTTAACTTAACTTAACTTAACTTAAATTAAATTAAATTAAATTAAATTAAATTAAATTAAATTAAATTAAATTAACTTGTGATTCACTTAGCAACTGTGGCAAGAAAAGTTGTAAAATGAGGCAAAAATTTACAAGGTCTTACATAGCAACAATAAGTAAGCTCTTACTTAACAAATGACTCACTTAGCAACAGAAATTGTAGTTGTAAATCAAGGATTACCTGTACTTTCTCCCTAGAAAGCAATTATCTTAGAAGATTTGATATATTCATGTGACTCAAATGATGTATAGCACATCATATCTCTGCTGAATATGAGGTTGCAAGAGATTGTTATATAACAGAGTTGTGATTATGGTCTCCTAAGGGACACCAGTTCAAATCTGAATGAAAAATTCATAAGTAAGAAAAAAGAATGACAGTTGTAGGAGACATTAAATATTCAACTGTAACAAGTTGCATACTTTAACACTATGTAATCATACATTTTTCTGCAAAAAAAAAAAATAGTCATACTTAAGGCATGACAACTAAAGGCCCATACCTTTTGAAGGAAGCAAGGGCACAGAGTTCAAATTATTTATTTATTTATTTATTTATTTATTTATTTATTTATTTATTTATTTATTTAATAAAATTTATATGCCACCCTATCTCCGAGGACTCAGAGTGGCTCACAACAATAAAACAACCAGTTAAAAATATAAAGTACATAAATGTACGTATATAATTTATATTAAAACCCGCAAAATCTAAAAACCCTCTCAGTCCAGGCTGGGCGATGTGATCAACCATGTTTTTAATTCACGGCAGAAGGTGCGAAGGTCAGGAGCCAACCGGAGCTCAGGGGAAGTTGATTCCAAAGGGTGGGTATGCCCACAGAGAAAACTCTACCCCTGGGGGTCGCCAGCCGACACTGTCTAGCTGACAGCACTCGGAGCAGACCCTCCCTGTGAGAATGCACCGGGCGATGGGCAGCTGTTGCTGGCAGCAGATGGTCCGCCAAATATCCTGGGGCTAAGCCATGTAGGGCTTTATAGGTCATCACCAGCACCTTGAATCTCACCCGGAGGGCAACTGGCAACCAATGCAAGTCTTCCTCTAAGAGACTAAGATATCTTACAAGGTTGTTATATGGATAAAATTTGAAGTGGAATTATATTTTCTGTCGTGAGCTTTTCGAGTGGAGAGTGGAATATAAAACAGAATCAGAATAAAAGTAAACAAACTAAAGGAATACATCACACAAGCACATACAGAAGCCACATGTCTTACCTTATGGAAGACAGTCCATTTAAAAAGTATCTGCTGTTTAATGAGTTGTGCAGCCTAATAGCAATTCAGGTGAAGAGCCGTAGGAACAGGGAAGAGTGTCTTTTATCGTCCATTGCAGCAGGTGCATGCCTCTTGTTTGCAGCTTATATCACACTGAATTTCTATTATATTGGTTGGTCCTCAATGTGTATCTATATGAAGGGTTCCCAACATTTTAGGCTGCTCCCTTTTATGGAACAGTTCAACATTGGTTTCTCAGGGTGGGGGTGGGACTTGATTGTCCACAGAATGCCACATGATACTAACCTATATTTTCCTTTCTTTTTGGAGCCATGCATTATTTTAATTTTATAAGAACTAAACAATCCAGTGGCATATAGTGCGGTCAGGCACCAAGAAAGGGCCTGCATACACGCAACTGCCTACAGGAACCAGGCTGGAGAACTCATTATGCAAATCAGCATATATCCGTGAAAGAAATTTGTGTTCTCCTTGGTCTTCCTTCTAAGCAATCCTCTCCCTCTAAAAACAACTGGACTGAAAAAGCAAACAGGATTGTTTTTGTGGTCAGAGCATTGTTTGATCATATTTCAAGTGCATAATAGAAGAGGAAAGGTTGAACAAGAGCAGGCGAGGCACCAAAACATTTCACTCACTGTGGAGGAAGAAACCCTGACTAAGCCTTGCCCACAACCAACCAACAGTTGAGAAAGGGATTTTCCCAACATCATTGTTGGGAAATACTGTCTACATTCTTAAATGTACAGGTTTGCAAAATCAGAGCTCTTCCCCCATTCACCTCCCTTTCCTGTCTCTTCACTCCAGCTGATATATGGCCAGAAACCATTACGGACCTCCCCACTCTGTTCCAAGGGAAAGGAAACTGATGTGTGCCTCCAGGCAGATGCTACTACAGCTGGACAGTCTTTCTTAACTCAGAAGGAAAGCAAAAAGTTCAAGGTAGGTTTTCATTTGAAACAGAGGCAAAGTCAGTGAAAAAACTTTGCAGACTTTCCCACTGAACAATTCTGCCTCACAGGTGAACTTTAGAATTTTTTTCTCAAATTAATCTTCATTGCAAAGCCATCACATGTGGCAGATGGAATGATTTTGCTTCTGGTAAGTAATGCAGAAAAAAGGGAAAGTTTCCATCTATTCATGGCTCTGCAAAATATGAAAAACTGACTAGGGATTAGACATTATGCAATTTTTAAAAGTTTAAGCTTTGTTTTTATCTTTTTAATGATAATGTTTAATTAAATTACTATAAAAATAAATTATGTAAAAATTGTGTGATTGACTAAGAATCTTGGAGTACCTTAAAGATTGACAAAGATTCTATAAAGCTGACTTTTTAAGGATTGTTGTCAACTTCATCAGATGCATGCAGCTTTATTCTCACTGTACTTTTGAAATAGAAAAAAGCCTACAGTGAATTGTAGAGAGACAACAAGGCAATCTCTTCCGCTGTACTGCCTGTCTAAATTAATTTTCCCATACATTGGATTTCACCATCTAATTTTCAACAAAGATAAATCCATTTAATATTGCTAAAAAAATAATAATAGCTCATGTCTTAATAAGATTGCCAAAATGTCTTTATTATTGTTTATATTTCAGCATTTTCAGTAGTAATCACATAGGCTTTTTAATTCTTGAGAAATGTGTGAATTTGACACCTAAGCAATAATATTAATAATAATATTAATAATACTGACAATAATAATATATGTTACATACATAATGCTGTCCAAAACTGTCAACTCTGAGAATCTACTTTTCCTTCCAGAAAAGTTTCATAGTAACATTGCATTTGTCTGCAAGAATGGGGTTTTTATTTATTTGGTTGCCAGACAAAAAAATTTAATCTGCTATGTTGTAGAGAATAGAAAAGAATAAAGGCTATTTGTCCTTTTTAAAATATTGAAAGGTGCAAAAGAAAATTTTCATTTACGCTGCCATCCCTTATTCCCATTATACTCTAAGTCAGATGTAACTAAATTTTTTCCATTACTTTTGAGGTTCATTTGAGGTCAAGGATCCAAAATAATGGGGGAAAAAAACCCTGTTTTATTATCTTGAATGAAAACTGTTGATCCATCTATTTATTTCAACACTGAATAGGCAGTTCCCTGCTCCCCATAAATAGTGCATTCCTATTTTCCAAAATTAGGACCTATATTTGAAGTATATTCAGAATGGTTGAAAAAGGCCAATTAATTATTCTAAGAAGTCCATTGGACTCCATCCAATGAGGTAGAATAGCTAGAGCACCCTTTTATATGCTAGCCAAATGTATGGTCAATTTGACCGAAGTCTAGTTTGTTGTAACCCTGCAGCATATTCTTTTAATTGATGTGGTGTACTGCCCAAACCTTAATTTCTTTGCCATCAGGTCAACCTAATCAAAGCTGCGCTTTCTCAGGTCAGTCTCTTTGGATTGATCTGGGCTTCCACCCAAATAAAATGTGTGCAAGGTTGGAATTCATCCTAGAATAACAAATCTAGCTATAGTTTTCTGAAAGCTATCCAGAGAGTTTTTGTTCCTTTAAGCAAACTGAAACAGGTACAAGTCTCTTTCTCTATTGGATTCAGTCAAAAACAGCTGCTCTTAATTTCCATTGTAAATGGCTGGATTTAAATCAGAATGAAGCTAAGTTTTGTCCCATTGTATTCATTGGGACCTATAATAAGTACCAAACTGAACCCACCCCAGATCTTGAAAGAGTGAAAGGAATCTTCTAAGTCATAACAAGAAAAAAAAACAAGAGAAAAATCAGTGCAATTTGGAGAAGAAGTTATAGTGTGGCACAGGTTTCTAATGGATAAAGCATGTTATGAGTGCCCTTGGGTATCTTAAGTCTCTGCAGATTTTAAGGGATGATATTTTGATTAATATCATCCCTTAAACCTGCCTCAGTTCTCCAGCAAAAAGTATTTCAGCTTCACCCAACTGAAGAATGCAAAAAACAAAAAGATTCTAGGAGGATACATGTGATCCAAAAACAACAGGTTACTTATCCCTGTTTGCTCTAAGCCATTTTAGATTTCAAGGACCACTTCATGGCTGTACTTGAATTAGAATTAGAATTAGAATTTTTTATTGGCCAAGTGTGATTGGACACACAAGGAATTTGTCTTGGTGCATATGCTCTCAGTGTACATAAAAGAAAAGATACATTCATCAAGAATCACACTTAATGATAGTCATAGGGTACAAATAAGCAATCAGGAAACAATGCCAATATAAATTGTGAGGATACAATTTGAAGTGAATGGAGATGATATTGTTGGCTGGAACTTAAATTTGCTATGAATGTTAATACATTGTAAGAAGTGATAAGTATTGTGGATCTTATAATTTATGTATCAAAGTCCAAGGGAGTTATGAATGCAGTGGGAATGGAACGAGAGATAGGATCAAGAGTCGATGATTGCTGAATGAATGGAGAATTCACTGAACTCTAATTCATTGAATTCAAAACAACAAGTATAAAGAGTTTACAATTATTTATAAAAGCAGAGAATAATCGAGAATGGAATTATGGAACAAATACATGGAGATAGAATAAACAAGTCAAGATGAAAGAGAAGACCAAGAAAGCCATCGCTGGATAAAATTAATGAAAACCTTAAAAGGGTTAAAATTAAAGGACAAAAGCTAATGTGTAAAATCATGTATGGATATAATGGTAGCAATACAGGTTTACTTTATTTTATTGATCATTGATTATTCATTCAACTATATTAGTATCAGCCACTGTAAGTACAATAAAAAAGATAAGGTAAAATGCAATAAAATTACATAAAATATTACAATGAGATAAAATAAAATAAGACATAATATATAGATATAAATTTAGAATAAAAATATGGATAAAATAAGATAATTATATTTTAATATCATCCCTACAATCTACCCCAATCAGTCCCACGTATGCCGATCTCAACCGGATCATTTTGCTCAGATACTGTGCCATGTTAATTGTTATTTTCAAATTCTGGCTGCACATAAGGTAAGTTGTTTGATATGGGGTTTCCAATGGGTCACTCATTTAGTATATAGACCAATGTACCTGTCTCTCACCCTCTTATACAAACAGCAGTCAAATAGGATGTGAACCAAGTCCTCTACCTCTGCCGCTTGAGGCTTACAAAGATAAAATGTTGTAGTGAGGTATTGTGAATTATAACAATATAAACTAGTTCTAGCTAACATTTATTTTTCTTATCCACTTTTGGGGGGCTTATGAGTTCATACACATTTTCTGACCTCTCCATAATATTGCTTATCTTGAGAGACAATTGCATAATAGGTATGTATATCTGTGTCTGGAGAGTTTGGTATCAAATCTTGAAATTTCCACATGCAGAATATAATTTTTACCACTGAGCTACAGTGATAAAACTGGTTTTTGATGGTCTTCTGTTTTGCACCCTGAGCAAACATAGAAAAATATTTTGGAATTTCCCTTCATAAGTCTCCAATTTAATCTGTCTTCTTTTTCTGTTCTTCTAAACTCACAAGAAATACATTTCAAATATTTGCAGCAATATTAATAAAGTAGTTTTGAAAAATAGCAGAGAAGATTACATTATTTTTCAAGAAGGAAAATTCAGACAGATATGACCTTTCTAACATCAAAATGAGTTGCCAGGGTGATTTAGCATAGCCTGAAACAATAATAACAAAGCATTCTAATTGCGTACTAAAATATTCACATGCAACGTCAAGAATAGTCAAGACTCCTTGTGTACAAAAAGTCCTTAACGAGTGCATATTCTTCAGACCAAAACGTTTTTCAAAACTACTTCATAATTAATGCTTAAGGAGATTTTCAAGATCCTGATTTTTAGAAAGTTCTGTGAAGCACAAAAATGCTCAAAATACTGAAAAAAATTGTGTGTGTGTGTTTTCTGAGGTTATAGCGGGTGTTTGTATGTAGGTCTTTGGTTATTCGGGTTTTCTCCCGTGTAAAATTGGAAGTGTCTTGGCAACATTTCGACGAAGTCTCATTCGTCATCTTCAGGCTGGTGTTTTCGGCTTCGTGCTGCACAAAGCCAAAAACAGCAGCCTGAAGATGACGAATGAGACTTCTTGAAATGTCGCCAAGACACTTCCAATTTTACGCGGGAGAAAACTCGAATAACCAAAAACCTACATATATATATAATATAATATAATATAATATAATATAATATAATATAATATAATATAATATTATATTATATTATATTATATTATATTATATTATATTATATTATATTATATTATATTATATTATATTATATTATATTATATTAATTAAAAATCTGTACAGTTGGATGGTAAGCACAAGATAAGTGCTAAAGAGATGCATTATAAAGCTTACCTTAATTATTCAATCATATGGAAGAGAAAGCAGAACTATATGAATTTGTATCTGTACTGTTGGGTGGCAACTTTAAATCCCAAACCACTTACTTATTGCACATGTAAATATGTGATAAGTACTAGAGGGATGCATTGTAAAGCTTATATTAATTAATCATTTATGTGGGTGAGAAAGCAGAACTGTATGAAATGATGGACAGCACCTTTTTAAAGTCTGGTGTGCAGGACGTAGCCCAGATGTTTTGGGGACCTGACACAAAAACCAATAGGAGACCTTCCTATTTCACAAACAGACGTAGACAATGGGTAAGTTTTCCTCAACATTTGAGGGAATAAGCTAGTTTATATAAACACCATACTGTACACTGTTTGGTCTGCAATGCAACAGGCACAAAGGTGACCATCTGCATACATTCCTGGCCAGCAAAAGACAAGCAATCTGGCTGGGTATATGCATGCATGCACCTTGTGCCCTCCTCAGGATACACTATAGCCAATTCAGAGCTCTGCATTGCAGGGGAACAATTAATAGTAGAAAAGTAGGAACAGAAACTGATGCCCTAGTTTTCCAATGATTGCTCCATGATGCAAATGTATAAGAATAGAGCCAGCCCATCTAATCTTATGAAAGCAATTGCAAACTTAATTTACATAAGGTAAACAGAGGACACAGAGCCATACCACATTGTCTTCTCTCTCAGGGACCCACCCTTCCATCAAACTGGAACGAGACTGAGGGTTCTACCCATTTTTGAAGCAGTGATACACCTTTATTGGAAAAAGGTACGGTACCCCTAACTCTTATTTTTACTTTATCTTACTTTGCTAAATTTTACCTTATTTCATTTCATCGTATCTTATAGTGGCTAACATCCACTGTCTCAGTATGGTCAATTTGACTAATCAGTAAAGTTTATTCCACCATTATTACAGCTTCACCATTCTTTAAGTAAATTAAGATGCCAGGTTTTCTTGGAGAGGGCATGTCCAAATATCAAGATTTTGTTACCAAGATTTTGTTTTGTTAGTCCTTTCATCGGAGCTCTGAAAAAAGCTCTTGCCATTGAGTTAGTAATTTGCTTGCAGTGAGAAGAAATAAAACCTTCTCACTGTGTTTTTTTTTGTTTGTTTGTTTGTTTGTTTTGGCATTCAATGCAACAGGCACAAAGGTGACCATCAGCATACATCCCTGGCCAGCAAAAGACACAAGCAATATCGCTGGGTATATGCATGCTGATGCATCTGGTGCCCTCCTCAGGATACAGGATAGCAATTCAAAGCTCTGCAGGGCTTTGAAGGGGAACAATTAATCCAGATCCATGTTTGATAATTCAGTACAGGCACAGTATATCATTCTTTGGTAACTCTTTTACCTGAAAATAGATTCTCCAGTTGAAAATATATTTTTGTGAAGGGGGATGAGATGCCTGGAGTTCTCCTATGTTTCTCAGGAGTTCCCATTCAGGTTGGATTCCATTGTTTGGATTGTTGATCTGGAATCCCAACCTTTCTTCCCTTTCCATCTGTGGGCTTGTGTAGACCTTCTAGTTAGGGTCATCAGGAGGTCAAGCTATTGCTGAATTGCAGCTTCCAGCTTGACTGAGTGGCTCAGTTTCTGAGTGGTCACAATGTTGGTTTGAGGTGAACCTACAGTGAATAATTAGGCTGTTTTTACAGGCCCTGATTAGGGAAGTCAGGCTGTGGAGGTTTTTTTTAACCTTAAGTTTTCTCTCTGTCATCAACTTGTGTCTGCTATCACCCTCTTCCTTCCACCCATTCTACTCTTCCTCCCTTATCAGTGCAGCCTCTAAGCCCAGCAAGGATCAGAAAATCCTCAGTCCCTACAGAAAAGGCTTATTCTCAAGGACTCTGATGTTCCCCGTTCACCAGAAAGAGATTGACATAGTACAAAAAGAACAATGATGGGTTGACAATGATGACTAACATTATTAAATCAAAATAATGTGGCTGTGGGGGACCTGTACTCCTGCTTTCTTCACTCACATAATTGTTCTAAAGAAAAAAAAATTGCCTGGATTCTTTCCAAAAATAAAAAATAAAACACCTGCAGGCTCAGGTGTCATGTATCATCAAATGGAGGGTATGATCCTTATTGTTCTGGAATGTTTGTTGCAGGGGTGAAATGCTATTGGTTCACCGAACCGGTAGTAAAAAATGTAAAAAAAAAAAAAGTTCTGACGATCAGCTGAGCCACACATGGAACTTTTTTTTTTTTACTTTTTTAGCATTTTTTACTAGTTAAAAATGCTTTAAAAAGCAGGGGGAGGGGGAGGTTAAAAAAAGGCTCTGACGATCACAGCTGTGCTGTGCAATCGTCAGAACCTTTTTTAAAAAACTTTTTTAAAGCATTTTTTACTACCCATTCACCCGAGCCGGTAGTAAAAAATGCTTTTAAAAAGTTTTTTAAAAGGTTCCCACATGCGCCACAGCTGATCCGGCCCCCCCCCACTCTGCATGCTGTTCTACTTACCTTCCCAAGCCTCCTTTTGGTGCGCACTGCGCGCACGCATGTGCAGCTCATGTTTGGTGCTCACTGCACATGCACACATGCAGTGCGTGTTTGGCACATGCACGGCCAGTGAACTGGTAGTAAACCGGTTCAGACTTCACCACTGGTTTGTTGTGTTTTACCCAGAGTTATCTTTGGTGAAGTAGCCTCTCACCAGTCAGTACGCTCCCATAGAGATGGGTTTCTCAGGGTGCCGTCAGCCAAACAGTGTTGACTGGCGGCCCCCAGGGGGAGAGCCTTCTCTGTGGGGGCACCTGCCATTTGGAACAAGCTTCCCCCGGAGATACGGAGGATCCCAGATTTATGCACTTTCCGCCGTGCCCTCAAGACCTTTCTATTTCAACAGGTTGGCCTGGCCTAACTTCCTTTTAATTGTTAATTTTAAATTTGTTTTAAAACAATAGGGGGTTTTAATTTGTTTGGGCCAAATTATTTAATGTGTTTTTACATTGTTTTTTAAATTTCGTATTATGTGTGTTTTATCTTTTGGCTGTTCACCGCCCTGAGTCCTTCGAGAGTAGGGCGGTATATAAATCCAAAAAAAAAAAGTGGCAGCCATATAAATGTGATTGGGGTGGGGGGAGAGAGAGAGAGAGGGGAGAGACAGGGAGAGAGGGGGGCACATAGAAATCTTTGGATCCTAGATGCCATTCAACTTGCACACACTAATGTAATGAAGGCTGGTGGTATGATGCAAATGCAAAAACACACTTCAGTTTGTCCTGCTTAGACCCCTTTTTCAGTTTTACTGATCAAGTACTGCAATTTTCAGCATAATTGGAGAGAAGCTTGTGTCTTATTTTGCATGGTGGATTTTATTCTCTACAAACAAAGCATTGGTTCCATATGTTTTTTTTAAAGGTACAAACTAGTTCAGCAGGATACTCCAACATGTAGGAGGGTGTTTTCAGCCAAATCTATAATTAAAATGCACAAATACGGAAAGAGTTCTTACCACAAATGTTTATAGCACAGCAAACAGAAATTAAGGATACGCTATGCTTTACCAGAAATGACACTTAGAATTACCAACTATAAACTGGTCTTGTCTTACCTTTAACGGTTGTACCAAAGACAGAGTTTCCATAGATGCATCAGCTTTCGTTTTCTTATTGCAATCCCAGAATTACGGGAGCCCTGCCCAACTTTTCCGGCTATAGCAATTGCAACAATCCAATGGGATGTAGTACAGACCCACACCCTGACAAGATTAATTCATATTGCCAGTTAGCAATCTCTTTGAATGAGAAACCACTCCACTCATGCTACAAGAACTTATTACTGGCAACCTATCCCATTTTGCAAACTCCAAACTGTACCTGAAAATAGTAAACCCTAAAATGAACTTAAATAAATTTTCTTAGAAAAAAATACCCTCCCCCAGAAACCAGACAAAAAGGAAGCAAAAAAATTTGTACTAATCAAACAGATAGGACCATTCAATTCATTTGTCATTACTGCTCAAGCTATTGTGGAATTTCAGTCATCAAGAATTTAGATTTTCATATATCAATTATATTAGTAAATTTGCTTACTGGTTATAACTGAGTATGAACTGCCATCATTATCACTGGCTATAAATTATGGGGACGTGGTGGGTTCAGTGGCTAAGATGCTGAGCTTGTCGATCGTAAGGTCAGCAGTTCAGCGGTTAGAATCCCTAGTGCCGCGTAACAGGGTGAGCTCCCATTTCTTGTCCCAGCTTCTGCCAACCTAACAGTTCGAAAGCATATAAAAAATGCAAGTAGAAAAATAGGGACCACCTTTGGTGGGAAGCTAACAGCATTCTGTGCACCTTTGGCATTTAGTCATGCCAGCTCCATGACCACGGAGATGTCTTCAGACAGCACTGGCTCTGTGGCTTTGAAACGGAGATGAGCACCACTCATCCCAGAGTTGGAAATGACTAGCATATATGTACGAGGGGAATCTTTATCTTTTTATAATCTAATACAATTAGAATCCACAAATTGAATTTTGCTACTAAAGGCAGAAGACAAGAAAATTCCGCTCTCCTTCCCATGTATTTGACCCAAAGGTGTTTTTTTGGGAGGTAATTGGACTTTCTTGTTTTTTTCTTTTGAACACATTTTGCTTCTCATCCAAGAAGCTTCTTCAGCTCTGATAGGATAGTGGGAAATGGAAGGATTTCAAAAGAAAAAACAAGGAAGTCCAGTTGCCTCCTGAAAAAGCACCTTTGGGACAACCATGACCTGGATGACTGAGAATCTCTACAGACTTCCCATGTGTTTGTTGTTCAGTTGCTAAGTCATATTCAATTCTTTGTGATTCCATGAACCATAGCACGCTAGGCTCTCCTGTCTTACATTGTCTCCCGGAGTTTGCCCAAATTCATGTTTATTGTATCGCTGATACTATCTAGCCATCTCATCCTCTGCCATCTCCTTCTCCTTTTTGCCTTCAATCTTTCCCAGGATCAAGGTCTTTTCCAATGAGTCTTCATTAGGAGGCCAAAATATTTGAGCTTTAGCTTCAGGATCTGTCCTTCTAAAGAACCCTTCCCATGTATTGCCTTCAACATTGGCAAGGCAGCCTAAGTATTAGTCAAGATAATACTAGAACAGTGTTCTCCATCAATTTGCTATCACTCTGCAACCACCACTCAATTTCTTCTGGCAGGATGACACAGTTCATTTGTGAATTTACACTGTAACAATGCACTCAGTTTTAATTGTTTAATTATTTTTGATGTATTCAAATGTAACTAACTTAAACAGCTGAAATTCAGTAATAAGCCAAACATGACAAAAAGAAATACTATATGAATGCCCCATTGAATGAATTGATATGAATGCATCAATTGATGCAGCTATAGGAATTGTGAATTCCTATGTACAGAATTTGTTTTATGATGCCTTTCTATCTCAATAATCGAAGCCATTACTATAGCTTCCACCATCATCCATGCCCAGTGAGGCCTAAGCTCCTCCCAGATGTTCATTGGGAGAATGAGAATTCTTCTGTTGCACCTGGCTTCCTTCAGAAATACTTGGTTCAGGCTGTCCTCTTCTCCACAGAAGAAGGACTCACTGTTCTCCATCCAAATTTCAGCCACAGAGCCAAGTTCTTGAGTTAGCTGTCAGATCTTCCCATCTATGTTTTCTCAGATTACAGTAGAAGAATGTTTTTGATCTGAGAATACAAGAGGTTGCATGCTGCACTATAAGCCTTTGGAGAATTGAAACATGTATGTATATATATATATATATTCTTATTCTAGTGCCATTAAAAA